CGTCCCCCCCCCCGCAGCATCGGCGAGAACATCCAGCTGCTGGTGGATCGGCCCGACGGCTGCTACTGCTTCCGCCTGCACAAGGACCGGGTGTACTACGTCAGGTGGGAGGCTCAGTCGGGCTGCGGGGACCCTGGGCCAGAACGTGGGCTCCGCAGCTGCCAGTGAACTGGCCAGTACTGTGGACTGGGCCCCGGGTGCCTGCGTGGGTGACGCCTGGCTCGGAGTAGGGACTAGCCTCCAGCTCAGCTCCCAGGGCCCTGGCTCCTTCCTGGATTCCAAGGTGGGGGTTGCTGCTCCTCAGGGCTACAGGTCCCCATCTAGCACAGACCCCCAGGCCGCCCAGTTCTGGCAGTGCCTGTAGCTGCCAGTAGGGCAGCAGGTGTTGGTCAGAATTTCTCTTGCAAGCGTAGAGGTGCTTCAAGAACTAGTCACTGATTGGCTACATTTGCTCCTTCCTTAGCGAGAGGATCTTGAAGGTGGCAACCAGTGTCCCTGGAGACAAGCTGGTGGCACTGGGCACCTGCTTTGGGAAGTTCACCAAGACCCAGAAGTTCCGGCTCCACGTCACGGCCCTGGATTATCTGGCTCCCTATGCCAAGGTGAGAGGCTTGCTAAGGAGAAGCTTTCATGCAGCAACCTCCCTGTTGGCCATGCTTAGCTGTACTGGGTGGGATTAGAACGTAGCGTGTCTGCTGCTTTAAAGGGCTGTGGACCTTGGTGTAATTAACCAAGATAGACCAGTTCTTACCCCTACTCATTTGCTCTTATCTTGCCCTTTGTTGCTGCAGCTTGTAAGCATGGAGTGTCTTTAATAGGCTCATGCAATGCCCAGCACAGTGGGACCTGATCCTGGTGTGGATTCTACCAGCATCTGTTTATTGCTGCTACTTCCCTTCCTACTCATTCCTCTTGTAGCTCACTCCTGTCTCAAGTGTCTGCCTTCTACAGGGGCTCTTCCTACTGGCATGAAATCATCTGCCTCCTTGGGCCTTCCCTTCCAGCTCCCCCTCACCTGTGTGAAGAGCAAAAGAAAACAGGACTTATGGGCTGGGGTCTTCCCTGCTGTCATGTGTGACCACAAATGTCTTGCATGTCCCAGGTACTCCCTTGCGGAGCAAGGTTCACGTAGGGTATCACCTGTATCTCTACCCTCGTGCCCAGTTGCATGAGGAAGACACTAGTAGGTTCAATAAGATGTTTTAATGTATGCAGCTCTGGGTGAGCAATAGCTGTACCTCCTGAAGTCAGGTCCTTTTCTCTTGCAGTATAAAGTGTGGGTGAAACCTGGCGCAGAGCAGTCCTTTCTTTATGGGAACCACGTGCTGAAATCTGGCCTAGGCCGCATCACTGAGAACACTGCTCAGTACCAGGGCGTGGTGGTGTATTCCATGGCAGATGTTCCTCTGGTAAGTGGAGGGGCAGTGGATTGTTCTTCAAAAAAATGGTATCAACCTGCTTTGGAGGAGGGTGGTGTTGATACAAGAGCAGCTGGGGAAGGGAGCCAGCACAGTGCCTGACTTCTATTAATTCCCAGGGTTTTGGAGTAGCTGCGAAGTCTACCCAAGACTGCCGGAAAGTGGACCCCATGGCCATCGTAGTATTTCACCAGGCTGACATTGGGGAGTACGTGCGGCATGAAGACACGCTCACTTAAGAGGGCAGCCAGCAGCAAAAGGCTCTGAGGACTCAGCTGCGCATGTTGTGGAATCAGAACTCAAAGTACAGGGAGCTTTCCTGGTGTGAGGCCTTGTAGGTGGCTATGGAGAACTACAGGCCAGTCTACCTGTGACCAAGTCACACCTGTTGTGAGCTGTGGGGCTGCCTGGCCCAGCCTGAAGGAGAGCAGGATTACAATAAAACTTTTCCTATATAATGTTTGTATGGCCTAAGTGACCACCCAGCCACCTACTGAATCCATGGGGGCCTGGGCCTGCTGGAAATTCTGTGTAACAGTGACATCAGCACAGCTGTTTTAGTCAACAGGAACAAAGTGACTCCTCTGCCCCAGGGTTGTTTCTGTCCTGTTCCCCTAGAGATAGGGTGGGGGTACTGAGGGGGTTATGTCACTAGAGGACACTATTGGCACTAGTCCAAGGCAGAGAGACGCTCTACTTCCTGTGGCAGTGGTACCTGCTGTGGCTTCACACAGCGAACAGTTTATTTGTGAAACATGAAAAGATTTCCAAGCCATATCACTATGAAACCCTGAATGCAGTTAACCATCCCTGCTGCCTTCCTCCACCTTGGGACTCATACCAGAGGCCCAGTAGAGAACAACAGTAACCTCTAGAAAGGGAATTCTGAACCTGACAATCCCCCAGCCCCACTTCTACAAGTAGGAGCTTCCATTCTTCAGGGGAGGGGTGGTAGAAAGGATGAAGTTGGGTTTGGTATGCTCTGCAGAGGGAGGGGGCTGTCCTGCCTGCTGCATGGCTCCACAGGTGGTAAAAGCCAGTGGCCTTAGCACCTCGGTTTGTTGGTGGCAGTAGTGGGCTGCACATTGAAAAGCCGCTTGAGGAAATGCAACTGCAGGACCCCCGAGAGGAAAATGACGAGGCTCTGAGCTAGCGACCACCAGTTCACATAGTGATAGTTGGACTGAAGGATGAAATAATCAGCCGTTTTCCTCATCCGGGCAAAGTTATAAAAGCGCCACATGTGGAAGATGTGGGCCTGCAGCTTGCGGGTGCTCTCCTGAAACAAACACAAGGGCCGTTAATAAAATCTCCCACCCCCATTAGACTGGGCTCCATGCCACCAGGTACCACTGAGGCCAAGAACTGCAGAGGATAGTCCTGGTCAAACTAGCAGTTGTGGAAAAGCTTTAATCACATGCCTTAGGCCTTAAAGCCAGGCCTGGGTAAAATGGTAGCAGGGAACCCCAGGCAGGCTCTCCTGCTTGCCCTGCATGCCACTCAAATGCAGCTGCCAGCCTTTTTCTATTTCAAAACGAGGGGAGGGGGGAAAGCTTCAGGAGCTACCCCCAGCACAATCCCATTGGCCAGTTTCTGGCCAGAAACTGACCAATAGGAACTTCCTGTTTGAATGGTAGGCAGCCAAGAAGAACCACGCCCCTTCTCAGTGATTCACGAAAGCACATGGCTGGGAGAAACATTTTAAGCTCTGCAAACCTTAGGCTCTGCAGGCTGGTAAGTCTCCTGGCCAGAGCTTGCCTCTAGGACCCCACCCCCTCACTTCCCCAACCACCATACCCAAACCCTCTGCCCCCCTCTTGCACCCATATCCTCCCTCAGATCTGGCACCTCAATCTCTTACCCCAGATCATAATCCCCTCCTACTGTAGGTTATATCCCAAACCCCTGCACTCCAGTCCCCTGCTCTAGGTCACAACCACGTTAGCCCGAGCTAGGCAAAAGCTGTTCAATAGGTCTGTCCTAAATGTAAAATCTTCACTGCACGTTCCCAGCAAAATTGCCAGCGAGCTTGTTGAGTTTTAGCTACTAGAGACAGTGCTGTAAGTCTCTGGTAGCCATTTCTGACTTTAATGCCTTGTACTCACCTACAGTCTTTGTCCTTTGAAACTCATTTCATTTTAATCAATCCAGTGCTGAGTTTAAACTCAACTGGGTAACTCCAGTTAAGGGAGCCAGCTTGAGCACTGGGCCCTGGGAAGGGCAATGGACCTCTAACATCTGATCTGCTCAGGAGAGGGCTGGGCAGAGCAGAACAGGACTGGGAGTGAGCTGCGTCACTCTACAGGGAGTACCCAAGGCAGAGTGTAACTGGAGTGTTGCTGCCAGGCCAAGGCTCTAGCTACAGTCAGATTCCAGGTGTAGCCTGCATACTGTTTGGTGGTCATAGACAGCGCCAGCTGGGAGGCCCCCAGCACTATAGGGCAGATACTCTCTGGTCTAGATTGTGCCCGAGAAATGTGACCCTCCCCCCCCCATTCCTGGCACTCTCTCTAGAGACAAGTGCCTCAGACTAGTTTAACACCACTCCCACTGCTGCCTCATGCACGTGTCCTGGGCGCAGCAGCTGGAGGAGGGTTCAAAAGATCCGTGTGTCCATCGGAGTTTGCATCAGCCATGCAGCTGATTCCAAGGCAGCCTAGAAGGGAAAAACAACGTTACCTCAATAGCCTCCAGCGTGTCATTCATTTGCTTCCTTTCCCTGTCTGGTGAGTTTTGCAGGTCAAAGCCTTCATAGAACACACCGAAGTTGAGATAAACCTGGGCAAAGCCAAAGTGGTTGAACCGATTGCTCAGGCACAGCTGGTAAAAACCTGTAGGGAGAAGTGGTTCTAAGCATCAGAGAAGAGGAACTGGTGCTGTGACAGGCAGACATGACCCCAGCTCAGTTCCAGTTCGCCCCCTCTGCAGCAGAGACATGGTCTCTCAGCTTAGCGGCCACCGAAAAGCTTGACTGCCTGGATAATCAGGAGCCAAGCTCACGTGCTGTGTCTAGCAGACTTTTACAGGCCTGTGGCTCACATCAGCAACTATCTGCAGGCTGCACTGGACAGAAGTAGCCCAGCTTTCATGTGGGCCAGGGAGGTCCCATGGAAGAAGCAGGGGCGGTAAGAACCTGTCTCTTTGGTTGGGAAGTTGATCTGTCCTCGTACATCCTGGGAAATGCCCACTTGGAGGCCATTGGGATCCTTTGCCGTGGCCAGGACGTGCCGGTCGTGTCCAATTCCCGAAGTCCGTTGTACCTGAAGCCAAGAGCAGAGCAGGGTACTTTGGGGGCAGCTGTGAGTTCTAGCAAAGAACAGCCCAACTGCTGCTGCCCTGGGACTCCCTAGGGGACCAGATGGTGCTGCGTTAATTGTAAAGGCAGCAAAGCCCCTGTCTGTTCTGTGGCAGGCACTAAACATCCCTACTCTCCAGGGGCTCCCATGAGTTTACAGGTGCTGCAGCATCCTGAGCAGGCCAGGCTGGCCATGCAGAGGCCCCATCTGGAGGAAGAAGCAGAGAAGCGGGAAAGGCGTGACTTTCCACAGGCTGCGCACCTGGAGGGCCCAGTTCCCATCAGCGACGAGGAAAATGCCACCAAGCTGCAGTACTGCAGGTGAAAGATGGGAGCTTCCCTCGGGCAGCTAACAGGTTTCCTGTGCTCTCAGGCCTCGCGCAAGGGGACGCAGGCTCACAAAGCGAAGCCAGGGCAAGGCGAACCTGCCAAGGCTGCTTTCCCCTTTGCCCCGGCAGTGCGAGGACAAGGACGTGGCTGTTTTCGCTGTTCCGTGTACGTTTCCTCTCCCACAATCTCCTTTCTCTGCCCACCTGCTTCAGGGATTTCAGTGGAGCTTGGCTTGACCTGTGGAATTTTAATTCCTAGTTTGTGTACTTAGCCGTGCCAAGTACAGAGCTAGCAAGCCCTGGGCAGCCGCTCGCCCAAAACCTGTGGATTCTCTTTCCACTGTGTACAGTCAGCCCTGTGTTAGCGTGCAGCCCAGCCCTCCTAGCCCTGCACACTGGCAGCAATCAATACCCTAGCGACCCCCCTTCCTTGCTTTGGAAAGGGGGTCGGGGAAGATCCCTTACAAAGCAGCCCCTTGGGCTTGAGCTCCAGCTCAATCTGCCTATTCCTTGAGCAGCTCCAGGCCGCTGCCAACAGCGCAGCTGCTGTGCTCCACAGGGCTCTGGCCCACCACAGATAAAGGGAGCTGCTGATAAACATGAATGGTGACAAGAGGGCCAGGCGCAAACTCCCAGCTCTACCTCCACCGGCTGTGTCAACAGAAGCTGGGCAGTGGCAGGGTTGAAGAGAAGAGGACTGGAGGGCCAAGTACCTAGCACTGGCCATACGTGAACCCAACCCCACAGCAAGAGACCTCCCATGCTCCTGCCACTCGCAGTGCAAGGGGAAGGGAGATCGCTTGGTGCACGTGCCCAGTGGAGGCCATGCACTGCAGAACCTCCTGCCCAAAGAAAATACAACCAACACGGCGACTTGCACTCGCTTCTCTGCTCTGCTCCCAGTGTGGCAAGCAGACACGACATGAAAGGCAGAAAGTCGATACAGAAAATACCATTTTCACAGATTTAGACACCAGAAGCGGTCATTAATATCACAGTCTGATCAAAAACCCCTCAGCTAACCGCTGGAGCTAGATTAGAACCAACAAGGAGGTGTAGTGCTCCAAAGAGCACAACCCTCCAGACAGCTGGCCATCCTGAGACCTGGCTTCAGGAGTTGTCCTTTTTTCAGCCGGGGGCCGTGTGCGTGTGTGCGTGTGCGTATGTGTGTACACACGCATGATGCAAATGTTACACGTTTTACACAATGAACAGTTAACCTGTGGAACTCTCTGCTAAACCAACTCAGGGTGTGTCTACACTGCACGGCTATTTCAGGATAGTAGACGTGTCCCGAAATAGCTACCCCGCATCCAAGGAACATGCCCGTTGTTTCAAAATATTTTTCAAAATAACGGATGCGCTATTTGGCCATTCCTGTAAGCCTCGTTGCAGGAAGAATAAGGGATGGCTCAAAATAGCGCTTTATTTCTAAGTTTGGCACCATGTAGACGTGCCAAATTTCAAAAAATTGCCTATTTTGATACGCAATTTGTGGGTCTTATTTCCATTCGAGAGTGCAGTGTAGATGGATCCTAAGGGAGAGTTTGGGATTCAAAAAAGGTTGGAGATTTAAGCGAACACTGAGAACAGCCAGAATTGCTTCAAAAATATCTAGTCAGCGTAACCGTTTTTGGGAGCTATAAATCCTCCCGCTTTAGGACTTAAAACCAGTTACTGACTGACCACTTCTCTGCCTTAGAGTGTTGCCTAATTCTTGACTTGTAGATGGATCCTAAGGGAGAGTTTGGGATTCAAAAAAGGTTGGAGATTTAAGCGAACACTGAGAACAGCCAGAATTGCTTCAAAAATATCTAGTCAGCGTAACCGTTTTTGGGAGCTATAAATCCTCCCGCTTTAGGACTTAAAACCAGTTACTGACTGACCACTTCTCTGCCTTAGAGTGTTGCCTAATTCTTGACTACGGACCCACTATGGCAGCTCGTGTGTTGGATTCTCAGCTGTCTGGCTGCGGAAAGTTATTTGTTCCACTGAGCCATTAACAAACCCTCCCCAGCACTCACCTCATAGCTGAAGTAGAAGTAGCCGCTCTGATGTGCAAACTGCCAGAAGCACTCCGTGCTGCCTCCCGAGACAACAATGGCGAAGTCATAGCGATCAGCTCCCCGGAAGAGAGGCTGCTCGCTGGAGCCACTCAGGGCCAGGGGCTCAGTCTTGGGGCTCCTGGCAGGGCCTGGCAAGCTAAGCAGCCCCACAATCACAGCCAAGGCGAAGAGCGGGACCATGCTGCCTTAGTCGCCTCCGCCACTCTAGCTAGGGCAGAGCAGGACACGGTTCCCAGGGGATAATCATTAACTTCACTCTGCACCCCCCTGCTTGCGCCAAAGTTTTCCTTCAGCTCCCTGCACAGCTGCAGTTACGCAAACATCGGGGCACCTGGAAGGAGTTCAGCTCCTCAAGGTAACCTCAGTGCAAGTACCAGGCCTGCGTGGGCAGCTGTGCAGTCTGTCCCCGTTAGAGCTCAGCACTCAGAAACATTCTGTCAAGGCCCAAAATGTCACCAGGCACATGCAGTCCTGCCCAGTGCCCTGCACTCAGACATCTGCCCACAGCCTACACCATGGACTGAAGGACCATGCGGTAAAGCATTCCTAGAAACTTTATTTAGTACAAGAAATACTGACAGTCACAGAGCAACAACATACCAGCCCCAGGGATGTGGCTACATGGGCTGCCATCGCATCTGGGTGCTGCAAGGCACAGCTTAGTTCCTCTTTGGCTGTGACATCTCTTCCCTTACGTGCAGATCGTGGCAATATCCTCCCTGTGTACATGGGCTGGAAGAGTTCTCGTGCACGGAGTGGGAGGTGGCAAAGTGGGTTTTGGATGCGGGACAATATTCATTCTCATGCCCTCGTATGGCACAAGGAAGAAAGCATCCCACCGACACTTACCTAGCCCGAATGGAAACACAGGGAAAACGTGGTTCCGTTCATGTGCTTTGCCAAAGGCGGCACATCACAGCCAGGCCACTCAAGCACAGGGGGATGTTTTGGAACAGAATATATAAAATACACCAGGCAAAGGGGAGGGAGAAGGTCTGGCTACTAATGAAGTTGAAGAGGTTAACTGAGCCATGAGTTCATCTGGCAAGGTTCCTTCCAGCAGCTGCTAGTACCAAAGGACATAGCTAAGGCAAGCAGGGGGCTTCTACCCTACACTGGTGACAACAGAAGCAGCCCACAGGATCCCGGGTGTGGGGGTATTTCTGCAGCGAGAACCAAAGGAAATTTGATGCATTAGTGTTGGTGGAAGCCAGGGGAAGATGAGACACAAATGAAATCCAGCTGGCCCTACAAAGTGGCAGCATCCCACCAGAGAGGGGAACAACTCTTTCTGCTGCTCCAGTGCTCCCAGCTTGAGCTGGCTCAGGAAGTCAATGCAGGATGAAATTCTGGTCATTAACCAGCTGTCCCACAAGGCTGTGGCTAGGCCCAAGACCCAGGGATGTGCTACGCTGCTCCCTTTTCAAGGGGGGAATATTCATCTTCAAGGGAATGCTGGGGAGATGCAAATCCGGTCTGTTGGAACGGTTACATGCAACACAGGAATGGCTTTCTTTTACACAATGGGCTCACACGATCAGACTTGGCCCTAGAAGGCAAGGTACGTACCGTGCCTGCCAAAGATCCCCAGAGACCTCTAAGAGACAGCGCACTATTCCAGAAGACAGGAGGGAGGGAATTTTGCAAAGAAGGAGGCCACTCAAAGAACATAAAGTCAAACCAACTGAAAAGTGCAACTTTTAACTTGGTGACGTCTAGCTCTAAACAGCCTAGAAACTAATGAGCACAAAGACAAAACATCTATTTGTAAAGCATCAAAAAAGAAAAGAAAAATCCCCTCTCAGAATATAAAAAAGTTCAATAAGAAACGTGAAAACAAACACCGGTCACCTTGCCAGGAAACCAGAGTTCTTCCAGTGCAACTTGGCAGCAGCTCAGCCTACACTGGTGCTTGCCCCTCCAGGCTGAAGTGAAGAGCATATGAAGACTGGTCTGCCAAGTGATTCACAACTGGGTTAAGAAAATTAAAAACGAGCTATAACACTCGGTGATAGGACTGCCCTGCCGTCCAGCCGACATCTGCAATCCCTGGTTCCAGCTCTCCTGCTCACCGGGCAAAGGCTGCTGGAATCGTGGCTGTTTCTAAACACGTACAAAGCATCAGCACCACAGCGCTTTTATGGCACAGTCCATCGTTACTCAGGCTCCCTGCACCCATTGACGGGCCTATTCAGTGACTCTGGCAAAGCAAGAGAACTAGGAAGGTTTCCCGAGTTCTAGTTAAACTTCGCTTCTTCCCAGTGGCAGCACTCAGCTCTGCCAAGCCGCTACCCCAACTCTCCACATCATTCCTATCCGGCCAGCAGGGAGGGGGCTTGGACAGCCCCACTTGCGTGGCAGCTGCTGCCTTGGTCCATCTTTTGGAGAGAAACAAGAGTAAGTGTCACTCAAAGAGTTCCCTCCACTGCTGTTTTCAATGGAGTCCCAGCTTTTTCATGGTCCGCCAACGATCCTTAATCATCACTGAAGTGCGGTTCTCAAAGGGGAACTTTTGGCAAATGATTTTCCAGTTTCCTTCTCCAAACTTCTTCACTCCTTCTTTGATCCACTCGCTTTCCTGCACAGTCCATCTCTGCAAAAGGACAAGGAGCCCCATGACTCTTAAGGAATAGGTCCTATCACCTCTGCACTAGACACACGCTTAGCCTCCTTGGTCCCCCTTACAGCCATATGATCAGCACCTTTTTAAACACATAGTAATACGGCACAGATGCACTGCCAGAAACTCTGTGTGGTGCCCAGTGATCATCCCATACCAAAAGAACAGTTGCAATGGTTATACACAAGGAAAATACAAGGACTGCAGCCGCAGTTCCAGATTAGTTCTATTCCCCAAATTACAGCGCAGATTACACAAATTCCTCAAGAGCAATAATCATGGAGAGTGTGCGGCAGTTACATGCCCTGTGCAATGTCCATACAAGAGAACAACCTACCTGGGGTTCGTGGAAGGAAAGTGTGCATTTGAGGGCATTGGGAAGGCCAAGTATAAGGGAAGGAGTAAACTCCAGGAAACCAAGATATACGGGGAGCACAAAAGAGAACAGCCATTCCTATGGCAGAGTGGAGGTGGTTACTGCAGGCCTTAAATTTTGGAGACTTTACACAGCAAAGGGTGCCATGTGACAAACTGGCATGCACCATGATCTCACTGCCTGGAAAAGCCAATGGACCCAGCTCCAAACAATCTGCATCAGACAAAGGGGGCCGGGAAGGAGGATTCACTCACGAGACACCAACTCCGGCACCCCAGGCAGTATATTTAGATTTTCAATCCAAGCCACTCACTTACGTAGGCAGAATGTGGTTTCTAGGGTGTGTTCTGGTTTTCTGCCTCTTCAGCACACTTACTGGCTGAGCAGCTCTGGAAGCAGATGACAGCCAGAAACACACAGTATTTTAGGCAACTACAGGCAGTCCCCGGGTTACGTACAAGATAGGGACTGTAGGTTTGTTCTTAAGTTGAATCTGTATGTAAGTCGGAACTGGCATCCAGATTCAGCCGCTGCTGAAACTGATCAGTTTCAACAGCGGCTGAATCTGGACGCCAGTTCTGACTTACATACAGATTCGACTTAAGAACCCCAGGCATCCCCAAGTCAGCTGCTGCTGAAACTGATCAGCGGCTGATTCCAGGAAGCCCGGGGCAGGGGCTTCCTGTAGTCAGCCACTGGTCAGTTTCAGCAGCGGCTGACTTGGGGACACCTGGGACAGAGCAGCTGGGGTGCTGCTGGGTTGGTCCAGTAGCGCCGCTGCTCCTCGGCGCTACTGGACCAACCCAGCAGCACCCAAGCTGCTCTGCCCCAGGCGTCCTGATTCAGCCGCTGCTGAATCTGACCAGCAGTGGCTGAATCAGGACGCCTGGGGCAGAGCAGCTTGGGTGCTGCTGGGTTGGTCCAGTAGCGCCGCTGCTCCTCGGCGCTACTGGACCAACCCAGCAGCACCCAAGCTGCTCTGCCCCAGGCGTCCTGATTCAGCCGCTGCTGAATCTGACCAGCAGTGGCTGAATCAGGACGCCTGGGGCAGAACAGCTGGGGTGCTGCCCGGTTGGTCCAATAGCGCCCAGAGCGGCGCTACGGGACCAACTGGCAGCGCCCCAGCTGCTGTACCACAGGTGTCCGGAGCAAAGCCACGGAGCACAGGGGCAGCGGGACAGCCCTGTCCGCTGCCCACGTGTTCCGCCGCTTTGCTTCCTCTCCCTGGTCTGCTGGAGACCAGGGAGAGGAACGGCCCCGTTCGTAACTGCGGATCCGACATAAGTCGGATCCGCGTAACTCGGGGACTGCCTGTACTGCCTTCCTGGCTTGCAGAGAAGCTTAAATCAGGCTAAACCAGGCCGTCTCTATTTAAAGAGCTGTGTAAGCCAAATCATCCTTGTGTAAGTTCAATGCTTAGATAATGCAAGTATTGACCAGCTACTCCAGTCCTTTAGTAACCATCTATCTGCAGGACCTGGGGGATTGCTCCATTCAGTGAGCATCGCTCACTTGGGCTCAGAGGGATACCAACACTAACATCTGACAGCAAAAGGGATTTCCACCTCCCAACCCTCTCTACTGCTTCATTGCTTCCCTGCCGCAGCAGAGCCCCGCGCTGGGTTCAGAACTTGCTGAACAACATTGGAAGGCTCTACATTACCTGCTTCTTGGAACCAAAGACTGAAGACGTGTGGCTATTTCTCCCAGGGGATCCTGAAAATAAACCCAAAGAGTCATATTTCAGCATTCACCTTCTGCTGTACATGCATCTGCAAGAGACTGGCCTGTGAGATTACAGGGGGAGAGCCACATGACTACAAGGGGAACACCCCTAGCCAGGATATGGAAAATACAAATAAATGTCTTTACTTCCTCAAGTTTCCTCATTTACTGAAGGGACACATGGCCCTTCCGATCCGAGCCCTAGTTACCTCACTAGAAACGCAGCTGAAGAAATACAATAACTAAGACAATGTCTAAGCAAGATTCAGTTTGTCTCAGGTTAGCTGATGTGTCTAAGAAAAAAGAAGACTGTCTAAGCCAGAAAGCCTCCTCAGTAGTAACCTCTGTTCTTTAACAGAAGCACATTCAGAGCACAGCATCCCGGAGAAAAGGCTTAGCTGCACTTAATTACAGCATTTGAAACAAGCACACAGACGCTGATCTGTCATCCTGCAGCTTTGGGTTTGGGGCTCAAACTAGAATAGCTGACAACGACGGACGGGTTATTTCACCTCATGTCTGAATCTGTAATGAGCAGAGCTTGACAAATGGTGGCGAAAGCCACTCGCCAGCCCCGCACTGCGCATGCGCAAGAGCTGCATTGTGCAGCGTGCACCGCCGGTAAACGGGGCGCGCGGCTGAAATCTACTTGCCATGGGCAAGTAGATTCTATAGTTTGTCGAGCCCTGGTAATGAGGGTATTTGGCAGATGTTCCATGACCAGGTACACAATGGATTTAGCAGCTTCCCATTGCTTTGGCCTGTCCAAGAAAGAGCACCATCTCCATTTTCAGTCATATCACCATTGACCCAAACCTTCCTGGATTTAAGGGATTTCTAGACTTTTGGTTTCTCTCAAATACTTAGGCAGCAGAGTCCCTGGGGCAAACAGGTAAAGAAAATGCATGCCAAAAATAGCATGCTCACCTTTGTCCAGGAAGAGCTCATCTTCGTCACTCCACGTGTCCTTTTCTTCTTGTCCATTTGAGGTGTTCAATCTTGCTTTCTGCAGCCTGAACACACACAACACACACGTTTTAATTGCAACAAGCCAGCCTGGTCAAGGAGCATTGAAGAGACAGTCGCTGCAAGAGCTAAAGGAAACACCCAAAAGGCCCACAGACAAACTGATCGATCACCTACAGGCCACTGGCAAAACAGTCCAGCACCACACTAGTACCAATGAGTCAACACTCACATGATTATGCAGCACTGGGAGACAGGAGAGCCTGCCGGACAGCTAGATTATAGGGATGCAAAGATCCCTTTTAACTGATTAACCAGATAAACATCACGTTTAACTGGCTAACCTATTAAAGGGGGAGGCAGGCAGAGGGCCTCTCTCCCCTCCCCCTGAGCACTAAGGATGTTAAAGGCTAGTCAACTGCCGATAATCACATGATTATGCAGCACTGGGAGACAGGAGAGCCTGCCGGACAGCTAGATTATAGGGATGCAAAGATCCCTTTTAACTGATTAACCAGATAAACATCACGTTTAACTGGCTAACCTATTAAAGGGGGAGGCAGGCAGAGGGCCTCTCTCCCCTCCCCCTGAGCACTAAGGATGTTAAAGGCTAGTCAACTGCCGATAAGTATGAAATTGAAAAAGGGAAAATGCAGAAGTGCCTATCGACCAGTCGATGGAAATTCCATCGACTAGTCAATTAACCACATTCTAACATCCTGACTAAGCACCCCCTGTCTATGGTGGTGGAGGAGCAGCCCAGCCCCCACCGGTTAATCCCTCACATCCCTACTTGATTATGTATGCTTGCTTCAATTCCACAGCACATGCATCTCAGTCCACTGCCTCTCTGAGATCTTAATCATATGGACTGGTTTGTAGATAAAAGGTGCCATATGCATGTCTGGCATTCAAAGACATTCAGTGCCATTTTAATAGCTAGTTGGTTCTGATTTTGAACTTTGACAGATCCCTGTATCCCAGCTGGAGCAGCCCGTTTGCAACAGGAGAGAGGGGCCAATCCAGCCGGGCCACAGTGGGTGGGGGGGGTGCGTGCCAATCCATCCACTCACCTGTTTAATTTGTTAACCAGTTAAACGTTGTTTGAATAGTTAACCAATTAAATGGGATTTTACATCCCTATTAGCAAGAGTCACATGTGCCACAAAGCTGTATGACATTTTTACTAAAGGCAAGGCCAACTGGTTCCAAATCCATTATGGTCCTTATTTTGGTCACTTACAGGCATACACTCAGCTTTTTACAGAAGATTCAACTGAAATCAGGTGTACAGCCGGCCCCAGACTCACACAAGCCTTTGGGCAGTGGAACGTTTGAAGCTAAAACTTCCGAACTGAAAGCTGACAACCCCTGTCATCAGCAGCCATCCCCATCGGCATTGCTGCCATTTAAAGCATTGCAAGCTAGACGGGAATAGAGCCAAGGTGGGAGGGAGCTCTGGAAACAGGCAAATCTTGGGTGCTCCACAGAGACCTGGGAACAACTGGAGCCGAGTGAATCACAAAGATCTAACTGCTGTAGTGGCCAACTTCCAAGCATTTTATTACTTTGGCATTTAACCCTGTAAACATCTGAGACCTGAAATGCTAAGCTCTAACCCGTCTCTTCTCAAGCATGAAACTTCATGCAGCTCAGTAGAGTCTGCTCTGCAATCAGAACCCAGCAGAGCTCCTACATCCAAGACCCTGAGAGAATTACCACATTTCCCTCACCTTTCTTGGGGAACTCGAGTACTGCTCAGGAAAGGGAATTCCCTGCTGTTTCATTCTTGCAGATCCACCATACTGTCTTAAGTATGCAAAAGCATAGGCCCTCATCTGCACAGCCTCCAATATGCATTAGAAGGGGATCCTACTCCACCCTCATCAAGTCCTGCGGAGAATATTAATCTCAAAAGCTTGACTCCAGAGAAAGTTTAAGCCCCTCCCTCTAACTTACAGCTAAGGTTACTGTACTGAGCCATGTAATACTTATGCAAGGTACAAAACAAGAGTGGAAGAATTAAAGTATCTTACATCAATCTTCTATTACTCTTGAAACTCATACATGGTTTAGCCTCACCACTGATGTGAAAATTTACCTTAATCTGTCCCATGAAACATACTTACAAACTTTTTCCAACCTGTGTATTGCTAACTGCAGATTTCCAGAGTCAGATATTTGTCATGCATACATTGAAAAGCAGTTTGCAAGGGTATCAAGGGTCAGCATTAAGGTGACTGGAATGTAGGAGGTGAACTCATTTCCCGTGTTGCTAACCGCATGTATGAACTACAAGGGCAACAGAACATTTGTTTTCACTATGCATTTCCACATGTTCCAACAAGGAGGGATATTTGATGTTTTAGTTTTGTGCTGATGAGGTTCTATTGTGTAACACAGCAGTACTAGCTATAAGTCCCCAAAGCACTGTGGCTGCACTAGAATACATAGTGCCACAGATATGCTTCATACTTGGGACTGCTGGACGACGGAAGTGGAACATATGGCTTTTGAACAAGAGGCCTGGATGCAGACGATACCACTGGCTCCTGGGACGAGTCTGGAATCTCATTCAGCTCAGAGCTCTGGCTGTCCTGCTCCATAACCAGTCTGCTTATAGTCAACAAGCGTTTACTCTTTGGAAATGGTTTAGGAATGTCTGAGGTCCCAGAAGTCTCCAAGGGCAGAGTTTCTTCGTCTCTCTGTCTCTTGAGTCTGTGGGATACAGAAGGGGACAATTGCTTGGGGAAAGAAAAGTCGGTTTCATCCAATTTGGTAAAGGCTGCATCAGAATCTTGGGAATCTGACAAGGTCTTGAAAGCTTCTCTCAGAGCAGAAATCCCATATGAGGTTACAGATCCAAGGGGCTGCCTATAAAATAAAAGCAGCTAAAGCAGGTTGCATCAACTATTTCAACAATACAAGACTCTATATCACTAAAAATCACAGTTGCTCCCCTCACTCCACCTCTTAGCTAAGCCACCAACAAATTAACATCCATGAAAAATCATCTCAACCCATGAAATCAAGCCTCCCCCTGTGAAATTGGAGCACCCTGCCTTAAGAACCCAGCTTCCAGCCCCTTCAAGCTTTAGAGGATCCCAGAGGTGATCTGACCCTCTCCCTGAGTGGCCGTGCAGTGAAAAAGGAAGTCCTATCCTTCCCCAGTTGCCCACACTAGCAGGTAGGATTCCCCATAGTTGGGAGGTTCCAAGCAGCACAGGAGGAAATCAGGCCCACCTTGATGAACCTCCTCCAGTTGCAGTAAGCTCCCTGGCGGCTATCTTCACAGCCCAGCTTGGAAGGGATCTGAGACGTGATGGTGGCAATTCTGTCGTTCCCCCATCCCCCGCTTCCCTCCACAGTCCATTTTTGAGTCAGGATCTCCCATGGTTATACCACCATGATGTTTCAGGTGTAAACATCTCAATGTGAAACCGACTAATTTTACAACCCTCTTGCCATAAAATTGACCAAAATGGGTGGTGAATTTGGTAGGGCCCTACTCATAGCAAACAATCATGCCTGAAAGATGATCCATCACCACAGAAAGCGCTCCCTTCTACAAGAACATCAGTGTAATGTACCCTCCTGCCAGCAGGGCAGATGAACTGCCTCCTCCAAGACAGATGTCACTACCACTTGGCAGAGACAGCAACAATCACGAAAGCACCCGTGTTGCCACTTGGAACATGGGCACCATTTAGAACATTATTGATGCCAATGTTACAAAATTGCAATGAATCTCACAAGATGTGTCATGTAAGGTATCAGTGGGAGCGTTATGATTTGATAAGGATAATCATGTTGATACATACGTATGACCTATATGTTGTGATGCATGTGACATTGTACAAACTTGTGCTGTGTTTCTGGGTGACACGCCCAGAGAGACTGGCTTTCACATTATCCAGCCTATTTGATCACCCATCAAGGGCAATCAGCTGTACACTGAACCCATTAGGGAAGCCAGGGACTACCCCATGGAGTCAGCAGGACGTGCAGTGATACTCATGTAGGCAAGGGTCTTCAAGTGCTTGTGAGCTTATAGGACAGACAAGGGATATAAAAAGACAGCTGCGTTTTCAATCCTGCTTTCCACCTCTGGGGCAGCTTCTCTGCAAACTGAAGCTTTGAGCAAAGGACTGACAGACTCAGCCAAGCTTTGGATGTTTTCTAGGGGGACTTTACAAGCTAGCAAATTCACCAGTGCTGCTAAGAACTTGGCACTTATGGCATCACAGTCCATATAGGTCTCAGATTGCTTTGACCACTTTGTTCTTTTCTAATAAAACTAAGTTTTCAGTACTAAAGGACTGTGCTGGCAGCATGGTATTTTGGGCAAGATTCAAACTAATGTTGATCCGACAACATGGCTGTTACTTTGGGGATCAGAAGAACATTCTGTATAGTGAAGGGATTTTTAAGGAACTCCTCACTTTACTGGACTTATTTGCTGAGTGGGAGCCAGAGAACTGGAAGGCAATAAAGGGAGCTGTGCGATTTCTTTTTTCAGCTTCTTGGTGATTGGCAAGGGAGATCAGGAGCACAATTAGGGACTGGTTGGTGAATCTAATTATAGTGTTAATTTTGTGAGTATCTGCTTTCCTTTTTGTAGCTTCTCCAGACCTCGGCATTTTCACTGTCAGCTGTCCTAGGCACCTCAGGGCACAACACCCACCTGTTTTATCCCTCCAAAGAGTGATAAGCTACATGCCAACCTATGTCCTCTGATCCAAGACCCCCCCTCATTCACCACCTGTCACAAGGGACACCTTTCCTTCCTGTAGTTCAAACACTCACCAGGGAACCATTCAGAAAATAGATGAACACTTTAATTCAGAGCTAGACAGTGTGATGAAAAATCCTGAAATAGTCTCTGGAGCAGCCCAACCACACTGCCATGTGGAAAAAGTTATGGCTGCCTACGCACAACATGAAACCAAGGGGCGCTATCTTTCAGAAGCCAAATTCTGCCAAACTTCATTCACCACATGGGGTCAGATTTCCCCTCTAAGCGCAAACGCAACACAATAGCTGCTCACCTCTCAGAGTTCTTTGAAAGCATTTCCATATTGTCTGAAGCCACTGCCACTGGTTGCTTAGCCACTTCCACGTGCTCTGGCACTGTTGCTGCTGGCTGCTTAGCCACTTCTGCGTGCTCTGGTGCTGTTGCTGCTGGCTGCTTAGCCACTTCCGCGGGCTCTGGCGCTGTTGCTGCTGGCTGCTTAGCCACTTCCACGGGCTCTGGCGTGGTTGCCAGCTGCTTAGGGTCATCAGTACATTCGGAATTCAAAGTCTGTTTCGCCATCTTCGACAGGAAGAAAGCACATAATCATTACCAAGAGAACACCATGGAACTGCATTTATTGTACCCCCATCCATAGGCATGGGACATTATTTAATCAGCCAAGTACACCATCCCTGCAATTATTTGTTGCTCTCTGGTCAGGGCCCTTTTTAGGAAAGACAGCTGCCACGCGACATCATTGTGACAGGAGCAGAGAAAGGTCATCCTAGTGGTTGTCACAGTGCCCTTCGAGAACTAGACCCTGACCTTCCACGGGGCCTAAGCTTGGAAGATCAAGATACCTGCTGGCTGATACCCTGAGGGCCCAGGGCTACAAGGTCTAGATTCACACCCTGCTCCTGGGGGCCTTGGGTGTGTGGGACCTCCAAACGAACCAGTGCTACGAGCGGGCAGCATTGGTCAGTGCTCAGCCAGATCATGAGGCAGCTGATGGTGCCTGATGACATCCTGTGGTCCAGAGACATCTACATGGAGCACATCACAGGCCACCATCAATACCAGGACAAGTGACTGAGACCACTGACAAGTGACATGGCCAGAGAAATCACCACTTCCTTCTATGACAGACTATGCATCTTCCCACAGGAAACATACGAGACAGCCAATACGGGACACAGAAATCATCCGCTTCTTTCCCTGATCGACTATGTAACTATTCACAGAAGACCCACAAGAAACCGACAGACCAAAGGACATATGCTACTGAGGGATGTGCTCCATCTATGCACTTAACCACCAGAGACTGTGACTTTATACCCTGTATGGATGGCTTCCCCAAGGACACTGATTTACTGACACTTCAAAAAAATACATCCACCTTAATCCAGGACAATGCTGATTATGCACACGATGTATCTCATTAACCATGTAAACCGATACTTGTATTTCCTCATAACCCAAGCTTGACCCCCAATATACAGAGCCTTCCTTTTTTACTTGCATCATATAAACATTTGCTTTAATAAAATATTTTCAGTCTATTTGGGATACAGTGACATCTATGGTCATTTGTCAGGCGCTCCATAGTAGTTACATGATTAAGATCTATAATAGTGGCCAATTAATTTTACAACATAGAACCCTGAGAGAGGGTCTGCATTTTAAATGCTAAGAATTCATTCCCTTGCTGCTCTGGTCCCAAAGCTTTGGAGTCAGACTTATGTATCAGACTTTTGAATACAAGTAAAAAATGTTCCATTTGAATAAGAATGAAACAAATTGGTACCTTCTTTCCAATTCACATCAATGGAAACTATGGTATCAATATTAGCAATGTCATTTGTGCCTATAAGCCAGAGATGTTATTCTGCACAGAGGAGGGTTACCAAGCTTCAAGAACTACAATCACTGGGAAAGAATTACTGCACATTCTGGGACATGTAAACATCACCAACACAGTAAACCCCCAAGGATTTTACAAACACAGTAAAAGCTTTTTTATCCAACACGTTGGGGAAATGGGGGTGCTGGTAAGTGAAAAACTGGTTAATGAAGAGGAATTTGAACATGTAAAGGGGCCTCAGAGTAGGGTATAAAGGGTTTTGGAGTGCCAGATCCAGAGGCATTCACCTTGGGTAGCTCCTCACAAGCAGCGTCCTGTCCTTGCTGCTCTTGGTGGAAGCACGGCAGGGTAGCTCTATGTCCTGCCTCAAGTGCTGGCTCCACAGCTCCCATTGGCTGGGAACCATGGCCAAAGGGAGCTGCAGGGGCAGCACTTACAGGCAGGGGCAGCACACAGAGACACCTAGTCACACCTCCACCTAGGAGCAGCAAGAGAGGTCACCACCTGTGAAGAGCCATGCAGGGAACCTGCCAGCCCCACACTAGCCAGACTATAAAGCAAAATTTCTATAGAGATTAGAGCACTTTCTGATTTCTACAGGGCTAGATAACACAGCTTTTACTAAGGTGGGTCAGACCAATTTCCGCAGGCCCAGGAAACAAAGAAAGGCTTTCCATAAAAATAGTGAATTTAAAGCAGGGTATGTAATGGGAGGGGAGGTTGTTCTTGATATGACATGAACCTTTAACAAGAGGGCAAGCCCTGCTGAAAAGGTCTGAAGGGCTCTGACTCTTACCAAAGCCTCATGTGGAAGATGAGTGACTTTTGGTAAACTTAATGTGGGCAAACCTTTAATGATTTTGTGATAAGTTTTCCTCTGTTCTTTTGTTCTTAAATAAACACACTTTGCCTTGTGAAGGCTTGCTGGTGGGTGGAGAGACAGATCAGACTGCTAGGACAGTCCCAGAGAACTGCAAGCCTAAATTCCAAATCTGAAAACTAAAGAGTCACAACACCCTGCCTACAGAGGTTACAGCTGGAGGCCTCAGACCTTTTGATCAGAGCATGGAGGGATTAGAGGCAACGTGCAACACAAGCAATTTTCCTGCAGGCTCTGGAGATAGGGGAAGTGACAGCTGGAATAGGGCTGAAATATGGGTAGCCAGGGCAAACACTTACCGTCAAGAGAAAGGGCTCTGAATCCTCCAGGTAGGTCTCCAAGAACTGGAACGCACTCTGTTGAAAAGCTTTGTAGGAAAAATTTCGGATCATCGTATGAGACAAATTCTTCTCACGGATAATGCTGAGCAACTCTGTCCTCAGTTTCTAGTCAAGAGGCAAGAACATTCTGAATATGTACAAATGATACATGTTATAAGTTCAGGAGCAGGAGGATTTGGGTGAGAGGGCACTACAACATTATTAACCAACTCACACTGATCTAAATTAAGAAGCAAAAGCCAAAAAGCCTGGAGTCTGTGTCAGCCTTGTCAACTACACCCCCTTATTGTTCCTAACACAATGGTAACAGCAGACAAAAGCAAAGAAAAGGAAGCATGGTTGGGAACATATTGCATACCCAACAAGGCATTCCATCTCACCCCACAAAAAGTCACATAAACTCACCTGGGTGTTAGGATCCTTTGCCATGATTTTTTTCAGAATTTTTGCGGCTTTATCAAACTCTCTCTTTTTAATACAAATGATAACAGCCTAGAGAGGGGGGAGAGGGGGGGGGGGGGAAAGAGGATCTCAATTTTTCTATGCTCATCAGTTTAACCACATCTCCTAAATCAGTTTCACAAACAGCACAAGCAAAATGCAAGCAAAGCCTTTAATGTTACTACCAAACACTATCGTAGTAATATGGAAATAAACAGTTTGTAGTAAACACCTTAATGAGCTGCTAACCTAAAATCCTACTATACCTTTCTGACTCTCCCATTCATGCAAGGTTATGATTAAGGTTTGTGTTACCTGATTTTCATTTGTATGGTGCCATTTAATTCATGTACATTAAATTTGAGAACTCACTAGTTCTCATCCAGATTTCTTAATTTTGAATAAAACAAGTGGCCTTCTCCAGGATCCAGAGTTACCTGGCACATCAGAACTTAAGCAGCTGATGTGGCCCATCCCCAAAGAGTTTACAAGTGAAGGTAGACAACATGTGGCTGTAGGAAGGGAAAGCAAATTTGTCAAAGACGCTTTGGGGAGGGTGGGCAAGTGTCTCCTTGTCTCAGGCTTGTTTATTGCAATGTCATATGCAATAAGACATCACAGTTACAATTTGCATATATTATACATACCAACTTTATCCCAGACCAGCAAATTGTACAGACTAGTTGCAATACCATGTTTTCAAGTGTCTAAAAATCTCTCCTAAGAGCATTCTGGTTCTACATGTAAAAGGCCCTCCAGCAAAAGGAGAAAGGATGCAATATTTCTAATATATTCCATGGAGAAAAATGGTAATAAGAAACGTTCTGCTTTTCTTGCTAGCAATTTATAGGTTCCCCCAGCAGTAAGACAAAGACAAATGACAGAGGGAAGACCTGAGAAGGGACAATTACCTACAATGTAAGCAAATCCTTTTTATTAAATTAGAATAAAACTTATAAAAGTTTAAACCATTTGAATGAAAAAGGAGAACTTGACCCTTACAGCTTCTTTCACCATTTTTCTAACAGATTCCATTGTCACCGCAGACACAGGAAATTCTCGATTAATCAGCTCCAGCACACCGATTGCTGATTCAAGGGGGGTAAGCTCTGACTCTTTATCAAAGGTGCAATCTGCAATTCACAGAAACAATTTATTTCAATTGGTTTTAAAATAAACACATCTGCCGAGGCCAAAGAAAACCTCTATAGAAAACTGCCAAGACAAGTAGGCCACGATTGCTTAATTAGGCCACTAAGACTGCAGTAACTGACAACAGAGAACAGCACACACAAAACAATTATAAACATGCAATTCAACTGAAAGAAGGACTGTCTAAGGTATGCCATATCTTCAAAAAGAAACATTTGGTGAGTTTTGAAATTAAAAGCAATCAAACATTATGAGCTGAGGTTGTGGAGATATGTTTTAATTTATGCCAAAGAGAAAAAAGTCAGGAATTAACATACTGAATAAAAGTTACACAAGGTTACACAAATGCAGTTTAAAAATCACAAACATTAAGAAACTCAGAATTTAAGTTTGTGCCATATTATTGAATCCTCATGGAATGAGGTTTAACAGTTAATTCGAACTAAGGGGTTTATCTTGGACTCGTGCTTCTCTGCCACATGTAGATGCGGGCAGTTACTTCAGGCTAGTCAGTTTCCAAAATGGCGACCGGCCAGGAACATGTTAATCAAGCACAGGATATTTAAATCCCGGGCTTCATTAGCAATTTCGGTTGCCCTCATTAGCATCCCTAGTTCGAACTAGGGGGCTAGTGTAGACATACTCTTACAGAAAAAGTTTAGTGTACGTTATCAGTTAGATCAAGGAGCAGCAATTAATCCTATGGAGTGCCAATTTATTACATCTAGTATACACTAGGGATGTGAATGGTTAACTAGTAAGCATCACCCTTATTGGGTGATGCTTACCGGTTACAGTTGACCCACAGGGGATGGAGCAGCACACTGCTCGGGTGAGGAGAGGTGCTCCAGTTCAGTCAGGTTGGTGCACTCCCTTCCTCAGTTAAGTATAATGGTTAGCCAGGTAACTGATTAAACAGGACTTAACATGGCTAGGATAGACACAATAAATTGACCGCCAATTGCTCTAGCATCAACTTCAGTACTCCATCTCAATGAGAAGCACAAGGGGAGCTGACAGGCAAGTGTCTCCCATCAACAGATTGCAGTGAAGGCACCACGGTAAGTCTATCCAAGTTAGTCAACTTCAGCTATGTTATTCATGTAGCAAAAGTTGTGTAACTTAGATTGATCTCCCTGGTAGCATATAGGGATGTAATAATGTAGTCAATTAACCAATAAGCAAAAGCAAAGCAAAAAGCATCTCTGTGTAACAGCTCTTACTACATTTGAAAAGCAGAGCCAAAGTGGTCCTGGAGCCAGCATGAACTGGGACTGCTCAGTGCCAGCTCATGCTGCCCCCGGGAATCAAAACCTTTTATCGACTAATCGAGTAGTTGATGGAATTTACATCAACTACTCAATTAGCTTATTAATTGCTACTTAACATCCCTAGAAAAGACTCTTAAAAAAATACGTACAAGCAGATAATTTCAAGGAATTATAGCAAAAATTTCAGAGGCCTCTGTGCAAGCAAGAACTTCAACTTTAACAAAGTAGAGTAGTTGGTTTTCCTCAGCCGAACAACAGGTAAAAAGTGATTTCAACAGATTGGTGCCGCACAGCACTGCCCATGGATAACGCAGCCTGGGGAAGGCCACTTTGGGAACAGGGCTGAACACCAGTAAGGCAAACTGAGGTGCCCTTCTCTCATACCTAGGTTCTCTCCCTCCTCAATTCTCGAAAGAAACTGCATAATGCGCAGCAGCCGAGAGACTGTGGAATCTTTTGTTAGGGGCCGCAGCAGCAGAGCTGGGGAGAAGAAGAGGCAAGCTTGAGACATCTAGAGCAGAAACACACGGCCCCTCCCGGGA